CTACAAAGTCGCCAGTTCTCATCTTCCAGCTCCCCAGAGACTCCGCGCGCTCAAGTTGTACTACAAAGTCGCCAGTTCTCAGCTTCCAGCTCCACAGATTGCTCCGCGTACTGAAGTAGCACTAGAAAGTCGCCAGTGCCTGCATTTCGCGCACTCGACACGCACGATCTCCGCAGAGGGTTGCGCGCGCACCGGACAAATCGCACTCTCACCTGCATTTCGCGCACTCGACACGCACGATCTCCGCAGAGGGTTGCGCGGGCACCCGGCGAATCGCGCTCTCGCCTGCATTTCGCGCACTCGACACGCACGATCTCCGCAGAGGGTTGCGCGCGCACCCGGCAAATCGCACTCTCGCCTGCATTTCGCGCACTCGACACGCACGATCTCCGCAGAGGGTTGCGCGCGCAGCCGGCAAATCGCACTCTCGCCTGCATTTCGCGCACTCGACGCGCACGATCTCCGCAGAGGGTTGCACTTTCGGTTGACGCTGTTCGTCCCGCCCTCCGCCTTTAAGAGAGAATTTATAAAGTGGGGAAATGTTTTTTCATTAGGACATCTCCCGTGCTAGTTTTCCATACTCACACTTGCCTACTCATTGCACGCTTGCATGCTCAAAGCATGCTTGCGTACCCATCACTTGTATACTTACACTGCGCGCTTGCCGAGTGTCAGTGTGTCTGTGTAAGTGTCAATGTCGAAGTGTCAGTGTATGTAGTGCGAATGTGGTGGAAGTGTCAGTGTGTAAGTGTAAGTGTCGAAGTGTCAGTGTTCAAGGGATTTTCCGGAAGAACCCTTCGCAATGCTTTCGGGAACAAGATACTTTCTTGGCAGAGATCTGTTTGATCCAACACCATATTTACAGCTGCAAGAAAATAGGCGTACACAAATTGTATAGAAGTCCAAACCGTCAATCATAGAATGTCAGAGATCTTGCCTTTATATATATATATGTATATACACACATATATGTCAGCCCATACTACCAGGACCGGTACAAACGTAATGAAACTATGAACAAACAGGGGGCATTAAGCCGCCAGAGAGACCAGATTGCCCAAAAACATCCACAATTCAACCCACCACCAGACACAAATGCTAAGAGATAGGGGAATCCATCCAAAGACAGGTTTATTTAGCGGAAAGGGGGTGGGGCCCAAGCTGTAATCTTCCACGGTGATCCATCCAAAGCATGTCCATACATGTCTCCAAGCCACTCGCAATGTAGGTTGGGGGAGGTGATTTTGTATATTTGCGTTTAAGGTTAGTTTTTCAAAACATAGTCCCACAGGGGGTAGGATTACCATGTTATATCTATAAAATGGGTAGCAGTAAGACCCCCTAGCAGAATTGCCATGGGTATGGGATTGGCATGTGAGCGGGTGTTGTTTGGAGGGGCTGGAATCGCAAAACTGCTTGGCAGGGCTGCGTGATGTGTGTGCTCCGATGGATGTTCCCGCTTGACTTTTGGAGGAAGTCTCGTACGAAACGCTCGCTTTGCAGACTTTGACATGTGAGTTTTTGAGGAAGTCTCGTACGAAACGCTCATTTTGGAGACTTTACGTGTGACTGTTGGAGGAAGTCTCGTACGAAACGCTTGTAGTGTGTGGGCAGATCGTGTGGCGACACGACGTTCGTGATGTCGCAGTGCCACCGTGCCACTGGGGAGCGCGAAACACGCTGGTGTAAACGCGGTGTGTCGCTGGTGAGCGGGATGATTAGTGGTGCTTGTATCATGTGATATGTTTGCTTCTAGTGTGTGGGTAGACCATGTGGCGAAATTACTTTCGCGATGTCGCAGTGCCATGCGGATTTGCCTTGGCAGGTGTGTGGGCAGACCGCGCGGCAAAATTTCGTTCGTGATGTCGCAGTGCCATTGGGATTTGCGCAGCCTTGGTGGGAAGTGTGTTTGCGCGGCGTCGTGCCACCGGGAAGCGCGAAGCATGCTGGTGTAAACGCGGCGCGTCGCTG